GAAAATCGTGCATAACAATAGTGATGTATTTGTGTAGTTCATCGACGACGCCTTGTCTATATAGCTGTGGAACTGCGAGATCTGGAACTGCATTGATAAGGAGATTAATAATATGCACCGCATATGATAGAGTTCTTCTTTCGTCTGCTGACGCAATTGCAGGAACTAAAAGAGGGCACAGCTTTTCTATTGGAACCAAATCAGCCAATAAATTATCTGGCAGTGTTGAGATGATGCGATATATAGCGCCCATACAGAGGCGACGAATATCAACACTATCAGAATTAGTGCATATTTCCATGGAAAGAGTCAGCACTACTAAAGAGAATGATTTGAGCTCTGCCTCATTCTGCCGAAGGTTGGAAAGTCGTTCGGCATCCCGGGATCTTATCTGTGGCTTGCTCTGAGTTGATGTAGTCCATATCTTGTTGAACTCGGCATCAGTATACTTTGAGCCTTCCGATACGCGTGGCAAAATTTCAACAAATATCGTTAAACATTCTACCAGGAATTGGCGCTGAGATGTGGCCAAGGCTTGCAGGATCTGTGCAGAATGACTTTCGGCAGAATCGTCTGCGAAAGAGCGTCCAATGATGTTTTCATAAATGCGGTTTCCAATTTCGGCTTTCACCAAATTTGAAGCTACCAAAGACGAGCCCTTGGCGATCATAGACAAAGACTGTAGCATATGCTTGCGTGCATTTCCAGATATATCCGGAGCCGATCCCTGAAACAATACATTCAAATATTTTTCCATCAATGAAACAGAAAATATTTTCTCAAGCAAATCGGGTTTGTTCCTATACGATGCTGCAATGCGAGAAATAGCTATGACTGCCTGTTCAACGACAGGAGCTCCATAGCCCGACAGAACGTTCTCTATAGAGGGAAGAACACCTTCTATTAAGTCATAGTCATTAGATGTAAGGCCGACGCAGCAATCTGAGACGATTGCCACGCAAGATGCCTGTAGATTTGAGGAGAAGAAATCTATGAAGCTGAAGAACTGCAATAATCCTAGCTGTCTGATCGTTTCTGCGTTGTCGCTAGCAAGAATTTTAATTATCTTCAGACATTGTTCCACGACTTCAATATACTGCATGTCTAAAAATTGGTTTATCAGAGTGGGTATAGCATTAACCGCAGTGAAGTTAGCCGTAGAAGCCGGGCAAGCGTCTAGTATGTTTAGCATGCAGGTGCAGCTTCCGATCATGAGATCAATATAAGAGTCGTCTGCGAACTCAGGGGTGTTTGACAAAATCTGAAGCAAAGAGCGCAACAAGGAATTGATAGGAAACATGCGAGGTACGTGTTCCTCAGGGCACATAAGGATAAGAGTATACATTTCCTGCACTGCTTCAGCCCTCTCAAAGGGTGTTATATTTTCGTCGCGGATAGTTTCGAGCAGTCTGGAAACAGGAGATGAATCGTTGAATACAAGGGATTCTGATATCATGGATAATCTGTTCATTTCAGATCCGAAAGCTGGACGTCGGTCAGCCAAGTTTCCACGCATATGACTGATGAGCGAGAACAAGTCATTACTGTGAGCCGCACGTCCAAAGTCCACATCCCCAGTATCTCCGCCTTCTTCATCCTCGCCTTCATCTTCATCATATTCGTCATCATGCTCGTCACCGTCGTCGTCGATGTTGTCCTCATCATCGTAGACGTTGTTATCGTCATAAGTGTCATCGGCGGTCAGGCGGTCGTCGCTGAGGTCGTCATCATTGCTGTGCTCGTCAACTGCTGCATCATCGCATTCCTGAACATGGACTTCGTTTTCATGTAGCAGCAGGTCGTCTTCGTTATCGTCGTCATTATAGTCGTCATTTTGTAGCATTTGACGAGAGAATGCCAGCTGCGGTGGCGGGTCGTGTGCAGAGTGGTCGTTGTCATATGCGTCGGAAAAGCGATTAGTTGAGTTGCGCGTGCGAAAAGCCATAGAGCTCGAGGCATGACCTGAGTCTGGAGGTGGTGGTGGTGGCTGGTGAGAGCTGCGACGATGATGGCGGACAGGGGACGAATCAGAGGAGTCCTTGGAGAGGCGTCTTGCTTCCTTTGCGTCGGTGGCGCCTGTCTTAGTCTCCTTTCTTAGCTGCTTTGCATTGTACAAAGAAGCTTCTGAGGCAGAGTTGCGCGAAGAGCGGCGGGTAGAGTTGCGCATGCTGGATAGCTCAGTAGAGTGCGCTCTGTGTGATCGGTGTCTCTTTGAATTGATTCGAGCTGGTGAAGGGGACCGAATGTGTAGTTTGCGAGCTGATCTTGAAGGTCTAATGTTGTTGTTTTCCATGCAATACCTAGCAACTGAGTTACTTTGCGTTATTCCAGTAGCGCTGTGTTGTCCTGGCGCAAAGAGACTCGATAAGCTGGAGGTTTTAGTATGAGGCAAACGGCAGGATGGTTGGAAGTGGATAGTGGGTGTGTGAGCAGGTTAGGGTTTGTGCTAGATTGGGTAGATCCGCGAACCAGTGCGATAACGGGTTGTACAGTGCGGCCTAAGAGGCAAATCGTGTGTAGCACAGCACATCATATAGACAACAGATTAAGGCTATAAAAAAATTAACTTATATCAGAGCAAAACAGCACAAGTGAGCAGCTGGTTGAGCAGGAAGATGAGGAGTGAAGAGCATGCAAGGACCGGAAAAAGAGAGAGAGGGACATTTGGTTGGGAGTTACCCGAATAAGGAGAGGCCAATGAAGAGCGGGGATTGCTGTCCATGCACGCGTGTAAAGACTCTATTAAGAAGGCTTTAAAGCATGGCGAATCATGGTCTGTAGGCACTTTTTGCGTACATTTCTTCGCTGAAGCGGAACCTTATGTGTTCGAGAGTGTGATCTATTTGAGGGGCCAGCTTCAGATAGGCTTTCTCAAAGGGATCGACAGACGGATCGGGGTTCTCGACGAAACACTCATGTTTCCATGTTATACCATTTTCCTGCTCGATTTTCCTCAATTCGCGCTGCTCATTCTCGATCTTGGACTTCTCGACCTGAATAAGAGAATAGTCGCCTAGCTTTACTGCTTCTGCGACTTTCTGCCAAGCCTTGCGCGATTCTTTTTCGAGCTGTTGCTCGATAGGTTTGACTTCTAGAGGCGCTCTAGTTGCTTTCTCTGCGTCCCAGAAAAGCTCTTCCGTACCGGTTTTCTCATCCTTGATGTGGGAAACTTTAGACCAGCGGCCTTTGATGGAGTAGAGCGGGGCAGAGCGGTTCTTCAGGGAGGCGATCTTGGCTTTGAAGGAGTTCTTCTTACCCGAGAAATATCCGCGTCCGGAGTAGTCCAATTCTGCGACGTAGCCCGAGCTAGAGACGATGTGGGTTTTCTTTTCTAGCTCGACGAAGGGCGCACCTCCAAAAAGACCTTCTATATGGAGCGCTGGAAGCGTGATCAAGTAGTACTCATCGAACTTCTTGATGTGGAGCATAGCGTGGCCTACTTGCTTGACGGTGATGGTGAGACTGGTTGCGGAGATGGAGGACTTGATACCGTTGAACCCCTGGAGCTGGACACCGTGTTTATCATTCCAGATATTGTAGGCAGTGACAGGTGGGTGGTGAGAGACCTGTTCGGACACGAGCACGGTTTTATTATCTTCCGATTCGTTAGACCATTGACCGATGAAGAGCTCGCCCAGGAAGGGGTTCAATGGTTTCTTTTCTGAACCGAGGTTCTCTGAACGAGAACAATATTGGCCACGGAGAGTTCCGATGAACCATTTGACAACGGCGACCATACGTTTCTCCGGGTCAGGCTCGGAAGCCGGGCCCGTGAATAGATCGGATATTTCAGTCCAGAACTGCGAGTATTCGGTCAACGATACGCTCGAGAGGATGAACGGCGGCGCAGTCATCGACGATAAATCACCATTATATGATGCCAGTGACTTTAAGAATGAAGTCCACATACCTAACTGACTCGCAGGCACAGATTGTGCTTGTTCAGCGCCTGTCTCTGACATTATGTTTAGGTGTTGTTGGGTGGCAGGGTATAGCTTGGGGCTTAGATGGGGGGATGGGGGCGGGGTAGCCCTAAATGGGCCGCCCACAGCTGTCTCATCGGTCAGGTGCAGGTACAGGTACACAATTAGTATATCTATATAAAACAAAGTCATACATAATTTAGTACTACATACAGTATATTCCAGCATGTAGGTTTGTTAATGTGTCGAAGTGTCGTGGAATGTCGTAACGCGAACGTACGCTGCAGGTGTCATTGTGTCTTCTGAACAACACGCTTCACCATGTACGGTGAGTCTTCATGCACTTTGATAGTGACATCGACACTGTTGTCAGTCTCAGCGCCAAATCTAAGCCATGTAGGATCGACCGCAATGCCACCCAGCTTACTGAACTGTTCCGCTATAGTGTCCGCATCGATACTGCCTACTTGCAGCTTCGCCGGCAGCGACTCCTGCAGCAGATCCAGCGAGTATCGTACAACTGCCGGGTTGTTCACGTCAATCGTCTTTCTCGACGCATTGTTGTCTACTTTCTTGAACAAAGACGTCTTTGTGAACACGCTCTTTTTAACTTCGTTAACTGCTTCGACTGCTTTCATCTGCTCTGCTTTCATTGCCGCAACATCCGCTTCGCTGACAACAGGAATCGGCGGCTCCTCGCCCTCATTCAAATACGCCGCCCGCCCGTTCCGGTAAAGAAAATTCCGCATAATCGAACTCGGAACCTCTAGAATCTGTCCTCTATGACCGAAACTCTCTACATTCTTCAGCAGTTGTACCCGCACAACTCGCGGACGCTTCGCACTCAGCACCTGTCCGCTGCTGAACAGTCGTCTCATCATTATTCGCTTACTTTTCTCTGCTTTCAATCAGCGCCGCAACGTTCCTTAGTCGCTAGCCGCTGAGTGTCCAGTATAAACGCAGCTGTCTGCGCTCGACCACCAGCAATAAGTTTTTTATATTAAACCCCTAATAACCCTATTTTACACTAACTTTCAGCCTATAATCTATCTGGGACGTCCCCATGGTGTATTTCATTCGGCAATAGTTTAGTGGCCAGAATCTCCGCCTGTCACGCGGGAGACCGGGGTTCGATTCCCCGTTGCCGAGCTCCTTTTTTTCGGTTCTATTTTTGCTTCGTGTTGTCTTCTTGCCCTCTAGCATACAATGACCGACAGTGTCGAATGCATCGACTACATCCCAGACAGTATGGACGAGGGCAGTGTGAGTCTTGACGAGATACAGTACTTGACCGTGCCGAACACGCCATGGTGGGAAGATGAACGCGACTTCATTGCTACATACTGTGTAAAGAACGAAATCGAGAACTCATACATAGACGACTCATTCTCGGATGATTCCAGCGTCTACCTGTCACTACCTTCGCCACCCGACATGGTTTTCGAATCTACTGCAGAAACAGCTACAATCCCATCCTCTGTGCCTGCCGAACGCGGCCTAGGCGAAATGCTCGAACAAGGCTACGTTTCCTGCAGCGAGGCGTCCGGTTACATGTCTGAGGATGGCGGACTGTGATGGTTCATCGTTGTTATTTGCAATCATTTGATCCACTCTAGTGGCGCTGCAATCTGCGCCAACTATGCGCCAGACCGCGCTGATCTGACCACCGTGCACCCCCAGCTCCTCTAAGGAGGCGCTCTCCCAAACCTGGCCAGTGTCTCACCGTTACCACACCACCATGTCCAAGACCGATATCGCAGCGTCGCTAATTGTGCAGTCACCGCCTGGAGAGCTCCCGAATGTACTTAAAGACATTCAACTGCTGACGGACGACTCGGTCAACTCCGCAATTGCCGGCCATGTCGCCGAGTTCGGCGCAGAGTACGCAGAATTGGCCTCTGTGGAGGCCTGCGACCGCCAGATCGTCGTAAGCACCTATAACAAGTCCGGGCTAAACCGGTTTTTTGACGTCGAGGCCGGCAAGAGCTTTAACTACTCGTTCCAGACATCGACTTCCTCATCGGTCGAGTCGTATTCTCACCCGCACTCTTTCCCAGGATACTCTGCGCTCGTCAAGTCGCTAGCTGCGTACCTGCACAACTACTACCCGTTCGATTCTGGCTACACCGCCGTGCCGCTGTCGGCGAGCGAGCTGGCCATTGTTATCATCGGCAGCCGGCTGAACCCTAACAATTTCTGGAACGGTAGGTGGAAGTCTGTCTACCTCTACAACGCGAGCAGTGGCGAGCTGCGTGCATCTGCGTCCGTGGACGTACACTACTACGAGGACGGCAATGTACGGTTGCTGGCGAAAAGCGATGAAAAGACGGTCGCAGTCGGTTCTGCTGACGCTATAGTGGACACAATTGCGCGATTCGAAAAGGACTACCAAATCCAGCTGAACGCCGGCATCACCGAGCTCGGAGAGAAAGAGTTCAAGCAACTACGCAGACAGCTGCCGGTCACAAAGTCGAAAATCGAATGGGATAGAGCTATCGCCGGATACAAGATCGGCCAAGATATTGGCGGAGGTCCTTCTGAGTCCTAAACTAATGTAAGAGAAAAACCAAAATAATTAATATTTAGTCAGTTAAAACAGCGTCGGGTCGTAGGTAGTTGTCAGCGCAGACTCAGGGGATGGGGAGGGCACACATACACCCCCCGCCCGCAAGCCTTTAGATCCACTTCCATATAGTGTAGAACAGAAAGAACAAGGCTATTGCCATCATAGAGGTTTTCACTAGCGGTGGCGCAGATTGTATTGATCGCTGTAACCGGGTAGAAGACTGTCTTATTGAAGAGCCGAGGTTCGCGAAGGCGTCGTTTGCTGAATCAATAAAATGGTGATCTGATGCCTGATTATTGATATCATTTGTAACTTGTCTTAATACACTTAGTTTGGATGCTAAGGTTTCTAATCTTGCATTATTCTATTAGTTAATATCAGAAGATATCTTCTTTTCGCACAATCGATTTCCTTACCTGTGATTCTGCTGTGTATGCTGAACTGCTCATTGTGTCGTAGTCGAAGTTTGGGTGTCAGCGGCGTCAACGAGTCCCTTCAACGTGCGGGCCGCCTCCGTTCCTCAACAGCCACTCGCAGCGCTTCCAATATTCAATGTCAGTGTCCGTGTGTTGCCATAATATTGCGTATCGCGTTAATTCTGCCACGGGTTCTGCGAGTTGCCACCATACGGTGTACTACCAGTACCAGGCTGCACCGGAGGTTCGCTCGGTCGTTGCGATCCGTCCACACGGTACTGCTCGCCGTAGTACTGTCGCTCACTGGGCCCACTGCATTGCACAGTTGCGCTCGCATATCTAGACGTCGGCTGCAGCGCTCCCGGAGCCGGAGCCGTGCTGGTCGTGTACGGCGAGTGCGGCATACTGTACTCTCCTTGATTTGTCTGCAGCCCTGCTGGCGGCCCCGTAGCCGTCGGAGCAGCAGGTGCACCACCATAGCCATACTGCGTTCTATCAAACGAGGGTCGCGCACCGTACTGCGGCGCACCGAAAGGTGGCACGCCGTACGTAGATGGCTGCCTGTGCTGTGCAATAGACTCCTCCATAAGCCGGTCGTACTTCTCCTTGGCGGTCTGAAACTTCTCGCTAAGTTTCATTAGCTCGTCGTTCTTCTGCGAGTACTTGTCAATCAAGTTGACCAATTTTGGTCGAATGGCCTGCGTGGTTTGGTACAGGTTCTGAAGTTCGACGTCGTCTGCAATGCTCGACGATGCGCCGCGCTCGTCCATACTGGTCAGAATCGACAGAAGCTTTTCGATGTTTTTGAACTCCGCAAACACTTTAGCCTCCTGTGCAGCTTCCTCTGCGAGCTCTTCCGCAGTAGGCGGTGTTACGGGAGTGACATAGTTCAGCGGGAATATGCCTACCTCGCCACGCAGTGATCCCCGCCACCAGTCACGGTACACCGCGTCCAGGACCGTGATCACGTCGCCTTTCCTGAACGACAGCTCTCCGGGCTCAGACCGCGAAAAGTCGTACAGCGCCTTGACGCGCGAAACCGTCGCCGGGGTCATTGCTGGCTCGGGTTTCTCGTCGTGTGCTTGCGCTGCTGCGGTGTTTTGAGTCTCATTTGACTGTGTCTGAGATTGCGATTGCGCCTGCGACTGCGACTGCGACTGCGGTTCGCCACCGGCCACATCGAGCTCCGACAACGACATTGCCAGTGCAATTCTAAGTTCTTCCTCTTCTTTCTGCCTGTCGGCGTCGGTTATTTTCTGTTTGTCCGGCTTCTCTGGGGGCTTGATACCCGGAACGTCTCGCCGAAGCTTCTCGTAGGCGTCCTGCATCAACCGCAGTGATGGGTCTGAGCGGTACTGGTTAGTGAGCTCTTCCATGACTTCAAGCAAACGCGATTTCACTTTAGCATGAACTGTGTTATCCTTGCCGATTTTCAGCAGCGCCTGCGTGAATGGCTTAGACGCCAGTTCCACTTGTGCCTTGATCCCACAGTTTTGCGACATGGCGTGCGCTAGCGTGAGACAGTACATGACGACATTTGCCGATTTCGCATTACTCGTAAGACGTTTTAGAAGCGCAGCTACACCATTCTTTGCGCCATTCTCGGCATCCTCATTGATCTTGTCGCAGACGTCCAAAATATATTCCCAGTTCTCAGACGTCAATTTCTCGTCAGTAGCTTTCGCCACCACGCCTTCTAGTGGATTCGCCACTGCAGATCTAAACATTCTCTTCTTTTCAACGTCTTTCAGCTTCTTTTTCAGCTCCTTTGCGCTTCTCGCTGTGTAAATCCGCACTTGTCTGGCCTCAGCGTCCCTGTCTAAGTTCCGCGGTTGTGCCTCAGGTAGTACCCAATCAAGAATTAGAGTTTCTCCGGGCTTGAACGGACCAGTCACCTGCTCAATCACTCTATGTTCAGTCGCGCCGATTATCGGAATATCACCACCAGCGAGCTCAATTTCACTATCTCTTAAAGAAACTGCGCTGCCCATAGTATCTCAAATACTAGACAGCGCAAACATGCAGCCTATATATCTCCCCCAGATCTCGGCCACGTAATACAAACCTTATTTTCGCGTCACTTACGACTACACCTGCTCGGCTATGTCCGCGAATATATTACATATTTCTCGTACATGCGCGTCATCCGACGGGCTGTAGCGGACGATGCTCGTGCTCCGTCACTAGATAATCATGTCCCGCATCATTATCGGTGTCGTCAGCTGTCTTGGCAGTTCGTCCAGGCGCCTTCTCGGGCATCGGCGGCGGCGCCATCCCGTCCGGAGGTAGCACAGGTGACTTCACTGACGTCGGCGATTGTCCGTTCGGCGTCTTGTGGTAATGCTGTACCTGTGCAGGCGAATTTCCGTGCCCATGCCCATGGCCATGTCCATGTCCATGTCCCTGCTTAGGACTCTGCCCGCTCGTCTCTTTCTTCTCAGAAGCCTTCGCCGCACGTGCAGCTCGCACTAGCGGCGCAAGTGTAGACAGCTCAGCAGCCTGCTGAATAAAAGGGTGCTTCAACAACTCGTCCGTGCTAGCCCTCTTCTCAGGATTCACCTGCAACGTCCACGCCAAAAATGACTTTAATAACGTCGAAATCGCATCTGGGTCTTTCAGGTCTGGCGTACCATTGGTCGCGATAAAGTAAAGTGCCCTCAACGGCGTCTCAGTCAGGTACGGCGGCTCTCCTTCAATCATCTCAATAGCCATAATCCCAAGACTCCATATATCTACCTTGCAACCGTACTCTTTTCTCGTCACAACTTCAGGTGCCATCCAATACGGCGTGCCTACCATAGTCGTCCGCTTAGCGGCTGTATCGTTCATTTGCGCACAAAATCCAAAATCTGTCAGCTTGATGTCTCCATTCATAGACAGTAGAATGTTGTCTGATTTGATATCACGGTGAATCACACCGTGCTTGTGCAGATGAGAAAGTCCATACAGTGTCTCACGGCATACAGCCGCTATCTGCCCTTCGGACATCATATTGTAAGTTACAACATCCGTCAACGATCCTCCTTCCATATACTCCATCACTACCCAGAGGTCTCCTTGCCATATGTATGAATTTATGAAATTCACAATGTTCTTATGCTTTGACTCTTTCATGACCATAATTTCGTTGATAATCAGTTCCTTCTTAGGCTGATCTTGCAAGCTCA